AAAAAAAAAAAAAAAAAAAAAAAAAAAGCGGGAAGATTAAAACAGAATATCAGGAGCGTCGCGCAGAGACAATCCATGAATCGACCGATAGATAGCACACAAAGTTGGGACCGTTGCACCCAAACCGGAAAAGAAAAACTGTATATAAACTGAACTTGCTTTTTCCCTTTTCTTCAAAATTAAAAACTGGCGTATCTTCTTCTGTTTTAAGTTTCGCTCCTTAGGTAAACCGATTGGAATGGAACAACATTATAGGGTTGACTTGAAACACGTGGTAGACAGCGACCAAGAGGAGAGGTAGGAGGGGGGGTGGTTATAGGTGGAGCTCGTGCCAGCCACCAACCAGGTCGAGATCTTCATCGACACTGCCGTCGTATCCGCTGGGCGGTCGCGGCTTGGAGGTGTCCGGAGCCTCACGGCGCCAGTCCTTTTGTAAGAATGGACGACGTTCGTGGAAGGTGGGGGTTGCTTTCCGTGCCCACGCTTTGTAGTCAAACCCGGAGGAGCCAAGACCCCAATCTCTTCTCCAACTGGTGCAGTTGTTTGTCGATCTCTTCTGGCCGAACGATTCCTCCCGAGCCTTGGCGTCCCGACGTTTGTCGCCTAGCGCTGCCCATTTGTCAAGAAGTGACTTCTTGGGGGGAGACGTCGTGGTCTCCTTCAAAGGAGTAGGCTCGCGGTGGATGTCGACCGGCTCCACGGTCACCACACCAGACTTGGAGTCTCCCAAGGGAGCGACGGCGCCCTTGTTGTCGTCTTGGGAAGGATGAAGAGTCATGGAGGAAGCAGATTCCTGCAAATCGGTTTGGATGTCCACGCCACTGTCCACGTCACGGCTCTCATGGCTCCAGTTTCGTGGATTGTGCTCCTGTTGTTGCTGGAAAACCATCCAATCCTCGTTCTCCGATTCCTCCTCTTCTTCCTCATCCCACAGATCGCACCAGCTCTTCGAGATTTGGTCGTTCTTGTTGCGCCCAAACACCATGGAGAGCGTTGGAAGTCGCTTGTTTGCATGGCTGGGCAATGAGCCAGTGATCGGGACTGGGTCGGAAGGTGGTGGGTAGTGTTGAGTGGTGGTCGGTTTGTGAAGAGTAGCCGACTTGTACGATTCTCCCAAGGTGGAATCCAGAACGGACTCCACTGAGGGAGTTCCCTGATGAAGCGAATACCAAGAGGTGCCAGCCGTCTCGGAAGCAGGGAAGAGATCTTCGGAATAGCTGTCGTTGTCGGGAATGGCAGACAGCTGTCTGACGGGTTGAAGGGGGCTCGCATGCAACGCCTTGGCCCAAGGGAATGAATCTCCCTGGTTGACGTGCGGGCTCTGGATGGAAGGCGTCCGGAGCGGCTCGCGGTTGGCGCTGGCGGGCACCACCTCGCGGTCGTCGGTGCAGAATTCGTCAAGAGGCTCATCGTCCGTGCCGAAAGAGAGGGAACGCAAGATGCTTTCACGGATGGCAGACAGCGAACGCTTTTCAGGGTCGAGCGCCAAGGCATGTCTCAGGATCTCAAAGGTATCTTGAGACATGTTGGGGAAGATGTCGAAAAGCGACTGTCGGTCCCGAACGTAGTCGGAGAACAAGACATCGAGCTCAGCGGGCATGGCGAAGGGGTTGCGTGCAAACAGAACATTGAGCAAGCAAATGCCCACTGCCCAAAGATCGGCTTTAGCGGGAGAGTACCCAGTGGTCCCCGGGTCGTACTGTTCGGGAGCCATGTAACGGTCACTGCCAACGCACGCCTCATGACACCAGGAATTGCGAGTAGCCAAGCCCAGATCACCAAGTTTCATTGAACCGTCCTGCGTCAAGAAAATGTTCTCTGGCTTGATATCGCGATGGTACATGCCGTTGGCATGAAAGAACTCGATGGCACTGACCAACTGCAGCATAAAGTCACGCACATGCTCGGTCTCCAAGGGACCCCGGTTGAGCCGGATAGCCTCGTACAGATCACCGTTGGCGCAGTACTCCAAGACCAAGTAAACATGTGAGTCAGTCTCGAAGGAGTGAATGAGGTTAACCAGGTTGGGATGATGTGGGAGGCGGCGATGGCACTCCAGCTCTTCGAAGCGACCATCGACAGACAAGGGGCCCATAGTATCCGTGGAGGACGCCTTGGCAATGCACTTGATGGCAACTTCCTGACCGGTTTGGTTGTCGTTTGCAACAAATACCATGCCAAAGGAGCCATGGTTCAATGGCGCCACGGTCCGGAAGCGACCATCCAAGATCTGCCCGGCGACGAACTTGTTCTTCATGGATGCCATGGTCGATGATGATGATGATGATGATGATCACACACAGAGAGAAATGTAACCCGAAGAGAAAGGTGACGAATCTGTCCGGTAAAATAGGGAGAAAAGATGCGTATGTAGGGGGCGGGGTTTGTTGAGATGATGCAGGCCCTGATGTAAAATGAAAAAGCAAAGGAATTTGTAAACGCTCAGGAGAAGTAAAAAAAGGCCGAAGAAGAGAAAATAAATGACAAAATCAAAGTAGTCAAAACAAGCAACCAGGCTGATGATATGATTAGAAGAGAAGAGTCAGGTCTGCAATTTCCCAAAGACCTTGATAGAGAAACACCGAGAAAACCAAGAGAAGAGAAGAATAATGATATCAAGTGGATAACAACGAACTTCGGACCGTTGAATCAGTCGTTCATATAAATATCAGGAAGTGAGACAAAAGAAACGGACGAAGGTGTCTGGAGACTGAGATTCGACGATACCCGGATGGGTGAAGGATGCAAGTAGACAAAGTGAAAGAGAGGCTGTAGTGACGGTTATAAGTTCATATGTATGATCGCTGGTTTCTTTTTCTTTTTTTGGAGAATTGAATTGGCAAAGCGGCCAAAGAGATTGAAACGATCAAGGAAATATCAACGAAAGGATTGACTCGATGTCTGAATGGAGTTGTTGTTGTTGTTGTTGTTGTTGAGAAGCGAAGATGCACAAGTTGAAAGTAGAGAAGATAAAAGAAGTCGAGATGAGAAAACGCTGCGTGATGTCGTAACTTTAATGCGGAATATAAACAGAAAAAGGCAAAAGTAGAAGAAAAGAAGACCTTCGTAACACCTGGTCGAAGGACCGAAGAGTCGTCGATGTGACTCAAAAAGAGTCGAGGGACCGAGATGGAAGAGGGACTGTAGCCGAGGACTATAAGGTCATAGAGATCTGCGGATTGAACGACAAGAGGGCGAACGGCTGTCGAACGGAAGGATGCAGCAGGGTATACACAGGTACGTGGACACTAGACAAGACCGGAGCGTGTACAGAGAGTAGACACCCGGGGTTGTCAAAGTTGAAGTCCGGACCAGAACGGCACCTGATAACGACGTATGACCGGGTTGGAAATCCCAGAACCAAATCGAAACACTCGATTGATTGAGTAATTGCAGCCTTATGAGTAAATCTTGGAAGATATAAGGACAGTTGTTCGACGAGAATGAGTCACGGGGGTAGTCGGAATGCCAGGACTCGGGAGAGGCGGAGAACGGAGAGCCGAAGAACGAAAGCGTGCACGGTTGTCGTTGTTGATGAACAGATGCAGGAAATCGGGTTCTGTCACTGAGTAGCACACTGACTCTGGCGAATTATAGGAGATCGAAGCGTTGGTGGGAGGGAGGGACGGAGGGAGGGAGAGAGGAGGATGCGCGAAGTGAGGAGGAAGTAGGAGGGAGGCGATTAGAACCGAGGCGGAACAGGGAGGCGGAAGGAGCAATGGGAAGAATAGGAATAAAGAGGAAAGAGAAAGGAGAAAGAGAAGAAAGAGAAGGGAAGGATATAAAGAGATGAGACCGGAGGAAAACAGGAATATGAAGATAAGAGAGAGAGAAAAGAAGGGAAAAAAGAGATGGGAATCGACAGGAGTCAGTAGTCAGTCAGTCAGGCAAGACAAGGCAGATAGCGCAATGATATGATGATATGCTTAATGGTATTGTAATGTATGGTATTGAGGAGAAATAAATAGACCAGGAACAGGGCCGCGTGTATGTAAAGATTGTACTGTACTGTCATGGGGACCACCAGGCCCAGGGAAACCGGGGGAAGACGGCGGGCGTTGGGCGAACCAGCGAGAATCAAGAACGCCTAGACTAGTCCAGAACAGGTATAGCCGGGATGGAATGGGGCCGAGGGAGGGTGGTTAGCCAATTATATTAGATAGATGATAACGGTGACGATACATACAGTACATACATACATACATACGGTCTAGCCGTTTCCGGAGAGATCCACCCCCCTGAATTATTGATTGATTCTTAACACTTGTCAATGAAGAGTCACACGGTTCAGAACACGCCACGAGGTGCCCAGAATAGGATGTGCTAGAAGGTGCCAGATAGACATTAAGTCTTACGTGTTTCTTTTTGGTTTTGGTATTTTTTGGTAGTATTGACAGGTACTGTGTTATTGAGTCCAAGTAGTACTCTGCAAGTACTGTAGTAGTACACTCAGAATGCACTGCTCATTATCTATCTGCACTCAAGCTGCATCGAGGACAGGTACCGATACTTCTCCAAATTGATCGCCTCGCCATTCGGGTGGCGGAGGGCTGCTGACCAATCAGGTTGGCCACAACAGGCACACTATTCTCGGGCTGCATGACGCCAGCAGCGGTGGAGATTCCCTATCAGTCGGAGTGCATTGGAGTGCATTATGGAGGGTGCTGTATATACTCTGTACAGAAGAGATACTCTGTACAAGAGTCTATTGATCCCGTGATACCATAACACTAAAGCGGTGAACAGTGCATCAGACAACACACTCTCGGATCATTCCCTGTTCCCTATCATACTACAGAAAACTGTACATACAGTTATCACCCCGCACGATCTTCGTCGCAATTTCTAGTTAACCTTCATCATTCCCAATCCGGATATGAAACTCTCCGTTCCCCGGATTCAGTCACTGTGTTGTCAGGAGACGTTCTTCTGAGGCCATATTGCATATACTACGCTGTACTGATTTAATGATTGACAACACATTATTATTCTGAGGCACGACTGACGAGACCGAAGACGAAAATCGCGCAGCAAACTTCTCCGCATTGATACTGCATACAGAGTACATACATGCATCTGCAATGGTGGTTGGTAGGACTCATAGTACACAGTACAGTGCAGTGCTCGGATAGCAGTATGTAGCGATACCCGGAGTACAAAGTACACTGATAATCAATGCACAGCAACATCATTCTGGCTGTCATGCCACATTCCTTCTGACCTCATGGCGTTTGACAGTCAAACACCAGCCATCTAAGAGGTATATACTCTTACAGGTACAGGGGTTGTGAAGAATAATCCCAGTCGCTCGGTTATTTGACGAATTCAACCCCTGTATGATCTCCGTACTGTCCATCGAGTCCAGACTTTGCCGGCGAGACGCTGAGGTGATGCCAATCCCCATACCCAGCGGTTCCATGGAGTATTGCAATGGGGTACACGGACCAAGGACGAATGAGACTCTCCAGGCTGTCAACTGAATACGTGCGTTTCAGGATAACACGCAATCCCGGCCATTTTATCATTCTCTATGACGATCCGGATATTCAACATGCCAATACCCCGGGTACGGCGTTTCGCTGTTGAATGCAGTTGTTTATCTGATGAAAAGAATCGGCATCTGACACATGCTCATTTACCATTATTGTCTTGTCAATCCTCTAACAGGCATGTTGATGAATTGGTGGCGTCTATCGTGATCCACTCAATTTATCTGCACTCTATTTCAGTCAGGGTTAGAGATATACCCTTTTATTTACTGCATACCGCACTTCAATATCTGCCTTGTACTACAACGCAGCATACAATGGCTATTCACTAGTCAAGTACAGCTGACAATGACGGCTGACGTCCACCGGCATTTGGCATGCCAATCTCGGATATCTACATACATACGGGGTACTCGGTACGCTGCTTCTGCATTCAGATGCAATACTTAAGATATTCTTCAAGTGCAGACTGGACTATTGATCCTGCGTGATAATAGTTCACTGTTGTTCTTTCCCCTACTTCGGAATGAGTACACTAGCAGCAACCACTACACATCACAACCCATAGACTTTTCTTTACCATCAAATCAGCTCAGTTCGATCAATCTAAATGCAATTATATATCACTCTATAACTCCAATCCAAACATAGTCTGTATATAGTCTCAAAGACTATGGCCGCCTCTAATTGGCCGCCCGCTGAGTCATGGCGGAATACCTTTTATCGGCCTCAACTTCTCAATCACCAAATTCATACTACACTAGTCGCAATGATCAAACAATAGTCCATTCATAATTCATCATTCTAAAAGCAACCATGCACAATGAGCAAGCGTCCCTATGAGGAGAGCTCGCGTCCAGCGCAGCACGCCGATAACGCTTATCAGCATCACAATGGCTTGCCGCTGCCCATCCATGATCTTCTCTCGCCCCAGGAGGACCATTCGCCAGGGCCGTCCAAGAGGCCTAGGAACTTCATCGCCTCCGTAGTAAGTCTCCTGTCACATCACTATGCTCGGTGCTAACAAATCAGGCATGCGAGAATTGCCGCCTCAAAAAAACAAGATGCGACGAGTCCCGTCCGAAATGCGGACTATGCAAGTCTCTGGGCTTGGACTGCGTCTACAATGAGCGCAAGTCTTCCAAGTATGTCCTTTGTCACTGATTCATTGGAGATTTGCTAACCCGTCCAGACGGGATCAATCCCTCAGCTTGATCATGAGCACTCTGCATCGACTCGAGACTAAGATCGAGCATCTCCCGTCCACCGTCTGTAATGACATGCAGCCGGTGCTTCGTGGTCAAGTCCAGGCTCTCCAGGGTACTAAAGAAACCAATTCAGCAGCTCATGGCCACAGCCATAGTAGCAGTAGCAGCGGCAACAAGCAGCCCTTCTCCCAGGGTCTCACGCCGGACATGGGTCCACCGGATGACTTTGAGTTCGACGAGCATCCGACAAAAGATTCGAATGGGCATGTGTCTATCTCCTTCAGTCAACATGGCGTGATTCTCTGGCCCGGGACTCGAGAGATCTTGCCCGAAGGACTCCTCGAAGCTCATGAACATTTAGGGAAGAATTACGTGATTGATCTGGAAATGAAACGACCGTCATTACCCATGTACATCTGTCCATTTCCTCCACAGGCTGCCGATGGCTGGTTGGAGACTCTTCCGTTGGCAATGGTCAAGGGTCTTGCAGATGCGTTCTTCGCCACGTTTAACCCGTTTACCCCAATCATGGACAGGAATTTCTTCTTTGCGTTTACTCTTGGTGCAGCCATCGAAAACAGTTTTGGATACACCATGGAGAGCTGTCTGGTTCTCAACGTTCTGGCCCTGGGGTGTCTGGCCGTTCAAGCCCATCAAGAAGGAGATTATCCCTTGCCAGGTACACGAAGTGGTGGATTTGAACTCCCAGATTGGATGGACGTAATTGATGAAGAGCCACCTGGCCTACGGTTCTTTAACGAAGCACGTCGACGGATTGGCTTTTTGATGTGTGACAACGATATCCAGAGTTGTCAATTTTATCTGTTATCTTCGTACGTTACCTACCAATCTTTTTACAAAACCTTACAAGGACACGTGCTGACCCCAGCAGAGTGTACTACAGCCAAATCCTCCGTCCAATGGACGCATGGGCCATGATCCATCGCGCTGCGACATGCTGTCTCTCCATGCTCACCAAGTAAGCGATCGTCTGACCCAATGCATAAACTCATAACTAATAGCCTTTAGCCACGACGTCAACTTCGACGAATGGGAAGGTGACATGAAATCCCGCGTTTACTGGAACTGTCTCATGAACGAGACCATCCTCGTCCAAGAGCTACACCTCCCCCCAAGTGGTCTTGCACGACTCGAAGAGTTCGTGCCAATCCCGAAATTCATCCCGTTCGAGACGGCGGGGTTTGTATCGGCGAGTTTGTTCAGTTCGGCGGGGGAGATTGACGATGCGTTCTTTCAATACCATTTCCTCGCCCAGGTTGCGCATCGCATTATCCTGACCCGCATCCGGCACTCATTATACTTTTATTGTATGTCCCCTCTTTACCATCCCCAAAAAAACGCCACATGTAGATCTAACCAATCCCAGCCGACTCGGGAACCTTCCCCCTCCCCGCTGTCAACGCAGAACTCCTCCACCAACTCGAACAATGGCGCATCAACCTCCCTCCGGCTTTAAAATTCTCCAATGAAGCCCTCTCCACCCCAGCCCCAGCACCAACATCTCCAGCACAACAATCAACGTCAACATCAACACCACGAGACACCCTAACAGACCCACCCCCCTCCCCCGCAATAGTCGTAACAGATGCCATGCTCCGCGGGCGCTACAAAATCGCCAAATTCCACATCGGCAGACCATACCTCTACAAAGCTCTCCGTATCCCTGCGTCTCTGACAGAGCATGACCTCGAGCAGGTGCGCACGGGGCTGCAGTATGCCATGGATTGGCCTGTCATGGGTGGGATTTTCAGGGAGATGAAGAGTTGTATTCCGATTAAGTTTGCGTTCTGTTCGCAGTACGTCCCCTTTCACTTATACTTTTTTTTTTTTTTTTTTCTTCCCCTTTGAGGTTAGAAAGCTAACGATGGTATAGATTCTTCGGACAAATCCTACTATTCTATTGTATCTCGCATTCCTCGTCGCCCAAAATACGGGATACATTACCCGACGGCTGGGAACGATGGAATAGCGAGATGTGGCGGTTCCTCGAGGACTGCGCGCCGTTTAGTCCGGCCGTTGCGCAGGATTTGGAGTTGTTAAGGCTTCTGTAGCCGTTTCATGATAAAAGTAGATGTACAGGGATGTGTAATGATAACATGACGGTTATATTCAGATGGTATCAATAATGTCAATAATCATGTAATAACTGCAAACAACGATAACTATAGCATCGCATCACATCACATCATCTCATACCAGACTCGTATCATACCATAATCCACTACAGAGCCCAGTCATCCGCCTCTGACTCAACAATAAACGGCTTATCGATCTGCTTGATAGCATGATCACCACATAGGATACTGCAGTGTAACGGTTAGTCTCGTTCTCAACCGTAAAAAGAAAGGAACCTACCAAGCCTCCGCAACAATCCCATCCAACTCCCTAACAATCTCCTCCCTCTTGGTCCCAGAAACCTTCCCCAACTGCGCCTGCAAATCGCGAATATACTTCTTCTTCCCGCCCGCTCCCTCAAGGACCTCTTTACCAAGACAGTCACTATGAAATGCATGCTGGCACGGGAACACAAAGAACTGCCGACTAAGCACGGGCAAGGAACAAATCCAGCATTTTTCACCGGGCTCGACGATCGCGTAGCGGGTGTCTAGGGCGGCAATTTCGGAGCGGATTTGCCGCGCTGTGTGCGCGGAGTTGTCCATTTCCTGGCGGAGGGCGTCGATGTGGCGGGAATAGTCTTCCAATGCGGTGCAAATTTCATCTTTGAAGTCATCGATGACTACGAAATCGGGGAAGAAGGGAATGAGGTCTTCAATGCGGAGGAGTTCGCAGCGACGCAGGAACTCGATCGCGTCTTTGATACTAGTTCCCGGTTGCCGGATTTTCTTCTCTGCGACGAGCAGCCACAGGCGCTTGCGGAGTTTGTTGTTGCCTTCGGGTCTGTCGGCGACTATGGCGGCGAGGTCGATGTCGTTGTTTTTTAGGGCGAGTTCGACGGCTTGTGGGTATTGGCCCATTGCGCTGTAGATGTGGATGCATGATTGGACGCGCTGGTTTTGGATGCAGAGACGGAGGGCAAAGTCTGCGTCGTAGGGGGGTGGTGTCGAGGGTTGGGACTGGAGGTATGTAAGGAGGCCGGCCTCTGAAGACGAGGTGCTTGATGCGTGGATTGAAATCAAGGTATTGTGCACCGCTGCTGAGGGCTTGGGGTGGTTGACGATGATGAAGTTGAGGTACCGGACTGCTTGGTTTTGGCTGAGCGGCGCGTTGACGGTTTTGTTGTAGTTTAGCAACGCTGGTATCAATTTCTCTGGGTCCAGATTTGTCTGTCGCATCAGGATATCCACCAGCCCCGTCGCCGTATGCGTCATGAGAACACTGCTGTATTTGTAGAACACATCGGGATCGCTCTGCCTTTGCAGCACGTTAAGCGCATCGGTCCATTTCTCTCGTTGGATCCAATACGAAAGAACGTAGTTGTGGTCATTAACAGCCGCTGCAAAGAAGAGCAGCTCTTCTTCTCGGCCGTGGCTGCTGATAATGTCGTAGACCGTCTTCTGGTCCATATCCGCTTTGTACTTGTTCACGAAATCTTGGAACTCGGTTCGCACACTGTTCAATTGCTCACGGACTTCTTCCGCGCTGGCACCCTCGGCCAGCTCGGCTCTGGTGGCGACGTTATCATCCAAAGAATTCAACTTGGACATAAACACCTCTACCAGCCAGCTGGTGACCATGATCCTCTGCATCGACGACGATCGCTTATACGTCGACAATTGAGAAAGCAGGTATTTCCGCAGTGCATCATGCTCTCCGCGGTTGATCAACGTCAGGCATACCTCTTCAAACCCCTTGCTACTCTTGCCCCATACTTTGGCTGCCTCCGAGTAACGGCCCTTGCTGGCCAGATAGTCACCGGATGCAGTTGCGACGGTATCCTTTTGGGCGCTTCCACGGGCATATTTGAGTGCTTCATCAAACATCTGTCTCTGTAAGAAGACCTTCCAAACATCTCTATCCTCGTCATCCACAGCAATCTCGTAAATATCCTGGCCAGTGAATAGCCAGAAAGTGTTCTGCATCGAGTCTGTCAACAACCCCAGGGCACTCTGCCCTGGTTCCAGTACTGGTTGTTCATAGACAATCTCTTCATTCATCAGGTTGACAGCGACGATCTTTCCTTCGACGAGGGTCAAGATGTGCCATTGCGTCAGCGTCATAGCAGTAATAGGATCTTGGATTAATTTTCTGCCACCTCGAGCAGACTCGGAAGCTGGAAACTTGGTTCGCGGGAGCATCCGCGACTCTTCAAATAGCTGGTGCGCTTTCTCCTGTGCATACGGAAGCTGGCCATGATACACACCCTGCGAGCTGAGCCAGGCAAATTCCTTATCAGAAGGACCGTCTGCATGGTGACCATCAGACCCACCAGGCGAAACAGCCAAAACAGACGGTACAGAGCTCGACGGCTTCTGAATTTCATGAACAACAGGTGCTTCCCGCTGGAAGAAGTCCGCATATATGGACCCCCCGCCTTCTCGTCCTTGTCGCCCTGCTCGTCCCAAGAAGTGCATCAGTTTGCCATGCGTTGCAACCAGAACTCGTTTCTGGTCAGGCTTCGACGGTACATTATCTGCCCATACCCCTGTTACTGCTGACGCCTCGGGTACTCTGTAAACGGGGGTGACGTATTTCTCCTCGCGGCGGTAGAACTCGGTCGACGGCTCAATGTAGACCTCGTAGACGTTTCCATCGGTAGTACCTAGCAGTATTTCCCTTGTCGATGCGGTCGGTATTGAAGGATTCCAAGCGATGCTCTCGATCGAAACGCCTTTTAACCGTGTAAGTGGCTTGGGTTGTCTCGATTGCGTATGAAGATAGTAGTTCTCGCCCAGGGTGGTGGTAACGATCAAATGCGACGCAGACGGGTCAAGGAACATGCGACGAATAAGTCCTATTTCCGACGACTTCTTAGGAAGATCGATATCTATCGAAACCCATTATCAGTAAACGAAGCAGCAGCTTGACGGCCATATTCCAACCCACCGTCAATATCTTCCGGCGTATCCAGATCAATCCGGAGAATCCTCCCCGTGGACAAAGCCAAAATCAAGACATTGTTGGCAACCTGCGCAGCGACGAAGTCGGCAGCAATTGGAAACTGGAGCTGCACACGTTGGACATCGAACATGGGGAGCGAATCGGCGGTTTCAGCGAGGTTGCTGGGAGCAACATACCCGCTGGGTGCGTCCAGCGCCATTATGCGCCAATAGTTCAAGGGGTTATGTGGATATCATGTCTAGAAGAAACAGAGAGGGTGGCCAGCACGAGTTGAGGGGCCGTACAAGTAGAGCGCTGTCGGAGATCGAGCAAGTGAGGCGGAGAACAGTTATGCCTTGTAAATAAGGCATGCATAGATAACTAACTAACTAGTTAGTTATAGACACCTTAGGCAACAAATATTACTTAGGGCTACATTATTGTATGACATGTCTGTACAAGGCTCCTAAGTCATAACGGAGCCAAAAAGAGTGTCGCTGATCGTGACTACCTATTCTGCATACATATAAAGTCCTTTCTTCTTCCCTTCCTTCCTTCTATCCAACCATCTCCCATTCTCTTCAACTGTTTCCCAAACCTCTCCTTACTATCCTCATCTCTCAAATCACCACCTTGTCATCTCATCATCAAAATGCCGGTTACGCTGACCACGGCGAACTACGCCGCTCGAAAATGCACAGTTTCCAAATCCACCGCCGCCGACAAGTTTCTCGAGCCAAAGAGCATCGACGGAACACAGGTATCATCTAGAGCTCCTTCAATAAACAGGCGCTGCAAGAAAATCACATCAGCCCTTCTACGCACGGCTTCGTTTGAGCTATTTTCCACGCATATAGCTCCCATTACCACCTCACGCTGCGGTCAGAAGACGTCTGGTTCTCGATTTTGTCATAATTGTCGTCTTTCATCAACGCGCATGCCGAGGAACTACGATTCCTGTTTGTCGCACATGAAGGACAGAAGGAGCTGGAGGTAAAGGAGGGCGGGAACATCCATACTGTGGACTTTGGTAAATTGGCGGTTCACATGACGGACATGATTGAGCAGAATGTCGTCGATCCTGAGCTCCGGACGTGGATTATGCCTTTGTTCAGTACCACCACGGACTCGGACAAAGTCGCCGCATCCATCCTCATAATGGGCTCCTTGCAGAAGTACTTCTCGTGCAAAATTTCTGTCTGCTGCGGGACTCCATCGATCACATTACTCGGCAACCGCGAGGATTGGGAGCAGCTGGTGGCCAAAACTCGACAAGATTCCTTAACTAGGGAAGGAACCCACGACTTTTGCCCGTCTTCTCCGCCCGGTATTGGAACGCTTCGTGGCCACCTTCGATCGCCCAGACGACCCTAAGATTGTCGACTTCTGGCGCAAATATACCCATTAGACGGGTGGGAGCGGTCCCCAATACCTCTGCGGCTGGATCACTGCTTTCTGCTTCTGGAGCGAAATGGGTGACTCGCTGTAGCGTGAAAACATTGACACGTCTGAAGAACCTGAAGAATTTGGGCTTGACAAGGTTCTGTCTCACCGCGTGGAAACGGACGATATCCCAAGCGCGTTTACCTCAGTTCCCGTAACTATCAACGATAATGGTGTACATGAGACCAAGATAGTTGCCGGTATGGTAGGTATCCAGGTTACATCCAGTGGACAGCCTATGGATTGAGCGCATGACTCTGAATATGGACCTGATGGCAAACGAGTTCCCGCTGGCCCTGTTGACAAACCTGGTTTGGATTCAATTCAGCCCGTATCAGGCTGGTGGATGTATGAGACGAAGAATTCAGAGGTAAATCAAGCGCGGCAGAAGGAGAAACAGGCCATCATAGACGAGCTTAAGAAGTTGGAATATGCCGATAACAGTTACGAGGCTAGAAAGCGGGATTACCAGTTGCGCAGGAAACTGGAAGACTTGAGCTGAATTGACCGAGTCATGTTCTAATTGTTTTGCGGAACTGTGTTTGCTGATGAATCATGGATAATGATGCAGTGGTAAGAAAGTGAGGAGGAAAAGATAGCTTCCATAATGAGATCCTTGAACGAACTGCCATACTACACAGTACATCCTAATTGATCGTAATGCTGATATATGCTTATATTAGCAACACGCCCATCTATCTATGTCAATACTCTATGCAGTGTAGAAAGAAACGCCAATAACCCGAAACTGTTCATATGCCCTAGGCGTAATTCATGGGTATCATATCAATCCGACCTCCAATGCCGCAAGTACAGTCGTACCAATGGGACAAGGGCACTGATTACCCTCGTCATCACATAATAACACATTCCCTCTCTATCCGTCTTCCTGTCTTCTCTTTTGTTTTATCCTTGGCCTTTCCTCTCCATCTATCACGATCCTTGGTCCGCCCCCGGGCGTTCTTATCCTTATCTTTATCTTTTTCTTTGCTTTCATTGCTGGATGGGCCGGATTTCTCGTCGTTCGAACCAACCAGCTCATTTTCTACCGCGTAGTCGTCACCATCGCCTTCTGTAGACTGGTCATCACTGTTGAGCTTGTCCCGGCTTAGTCGTCCGGTGAACCGTGAGAAAGTCGCACTAATTCGGTTCTCGCTGTTTTGGCTGCCGGCGCGGCTGCCAGGGTTACTTTTCACCCTAGAACCGCGTCTAGAGAATGAAAAGGGATTCGAACTCGTTCCATCTTCGTCTTTGTCTTTCGGGGCAATTTTTGGTGACGTAGAAGAGGTGGTGTGTACATGGAGACCCCCAGATTGAGTTGAAGGGTCGGTGTTGGAGAAGATGGAGCCCTGTGGCGCTCCGTTTTGGTCAACCACCTCAGTCTCCGTGACTATCGGGGCGGTGATCTCGAAACTGGGCCGTCCAGTCGTGCACTCCTCAGCGTTGGAGGACCCCATAGATAAGCCGTTCAGTCTTTGAGCGATACCAGCGGCATCGGATTCCAGGGTATCATCTGACGACTCGGAGGAAGCCTTATGTTGTAGGTTGGCCTTCGCGGCATCTTCATCAATAGGGAGGATCTGGTAGAACAGCAGATACGGCGACTCGTTTTTCAAGGCCTGTTCGATATCGACTAGAGTCACCCGCTCCGCAGCCAAGTCATCAAAGCGCATCCAATATCGTGAATCATCCGAAACTGTCTGCTCAGTACCATTACCATTGGAAACGGCCGGGGCAGCGCCTGCACTGGTCCCTCTGACGATTGCTATATAATGACCCGAGTCGACAGAGTTCCCACGATGACAGACTAGAGACTGTAAAGCCAACTTGAAGTTGCCGTATATGGGAGCATCGTCATCCATATTGTCATCTTGAATGAAATGGGGTAAGCCGATCTCAGTTGGTATATCAACGAATGTGCTGCGTCTAACCGCTCGCCCATTAGGAAGCATTGAATAACGCTTCAAGCACATTCCGAGGATAGGTCTTTTCACAGAGATATGTTCCGCTACCTGAGCGTCGGTCTTCGGTGTATTATCCGTGTACCACGCTGCAAATGAGTCAGCACATGCCCCAAAGCATAAGATCTCAGCAGAGACGCACGTATCAAACTGAAGAACTGCCAGGCTGGCATCATGACCTCTTTCCTGTAAGAACCTTTCCGAGTATGATTGCGACCACTGCCGCAATCACTCTTCCCCTCGTCGCTTTTTCCTTCTTCGCTTGAATCAGGAACGAAACGCTCCTGTACGATGCTATCCCGTCGATCCAAAGTAGACGAAGTTGTGGCGGACTCATCGATAGACTCCGTCACTGACGTTAGAGGAGTCACATCTTCGAGCCAGGGAGAAGACCCCCGGACTGGTGACGACCCAGTAGAGTCAACTTCAATAGCTTCAACGTGTGTCGTGAAGCCTTTTGACATTGAATCTACTGACCTTGTCGTGTTCCGTCGCTCTAGATGTCTTTTCACCTCAATCTTATTGTTGAAGTAGGACTCCAAGCAGTCCTCCAATGTGACTGTCTTCCCGTCCGCTGGCTCGGGTATCGCAACCTCTAATAGCCTCTCGTTGATGAACTTGTGATCGCCACTGGCATCTTCCTTTCCGGTGTGATAGATGTCCATCTTCAAGGTAAGCAGCGGTAGCTCTAGTTTCTCCGTGATGAATGTAAATGCTTCGGACGCATCCTGTTGTCGAAGAGTAGAGGCATCCCTCCAACCGCACTCGGCAAGCGCATCTTGCAGATATTTTGTCTGTTGATGGTCGAGTCAGTAACCCCGCTTGCATCACCAGGATTATATGAAACGCACCATATCTTTAGTTATCAGCTTTCCAGAACGTAGCATATTAACCCAAAATCTTAGCAAAACTGCGAGTTTCCGGCGGGGTTCATCTTCAAAGGATTTGTGCAGAATGGGTTCGAAACAGTCGAGACGGGCGAACATTGCGAAGAGTAGCGCATCTAGGTAGCAGGTAACACCCTGTCGGTTTTCTGCTCCAAGAAGTTTTGTACTGGGCGTATATCCTCTGATTATCCCTTCGATAGAGTCCTCCAGTAGAAGAAGCAAATCAAACGCCTTGTCAACATCCCATTGCGCATGAGCTGATTGCAGCGCATAACCGATATGTTCTTCCTTCAAATCAGTGATTCCAAGTTGTGCGATGCGACGTTCGAGTTGCTTTATCTGTTCCCGCAGGTCTATGAGTCACTGCGGATCATGGCAGCTATGAAGCTTCTCTTACCTTCTTCTGATTCTGGTTGTCGCCATTTTCCGAAGCGGATTGTGACGAGAAGAAACCGCGAAATAGAGGCCGGGTGAGGATATTCGATGTCTATTCAGAAAGAAAAATCAGCCATATCCCAAGTGAAGACAATTGGTTGCCGTACCTCCTCCTTAAGATGCTTGCTATATCTGCTATGTCGCTCGCGTCTTGGAAGGAATTTCTGAAGGCTGCTCATCTTTGGCAGCTCGAGTGGTATAGGCGAACCGTTTTAAAACCGAGCCGGAGATGTTCTCAATGCGAATCGAGAAATGGGACCAGGGTAAGCATAAAGATCTATGCTAGATTTATCGATAGTCGCGGGGATTCAATTTAGATCCCGAGATCGCGCATGGAGATTTCGAAGAGAAATTGTTCTCGCCAAGTCATCAATGATCATATCAGGTGCCGGGCTCTTCTGACGACGTCGGAGCTGCCAATCCATCCGGAAATCGCCCTCGCCACCATAGGACGCCGAAACGAGAATAAGCAGGGGAAAGTGACCTGTGAAGAGAATTATGACAGCGGATCTATAAGATGCAAATCTGAATCAGGCAATTATATCAGCTGATCGACGCCGGTTGAAAATCATAGCTCGGATGTAGCTCAAGATAGTGTTCTGTAGTGGTGGTAGAGGCGGAGATGATGAAGCTGATCACATGTGGAGCTGCGGAGGTAGTTAACTAGTTAACTAATAACTAGTTAGTGCCTGAAACTTGGTGCCCGCTATCTCAGGCATATAGATATTGCACGTGATGCACTCCCGAAATCAACGCTTCTTCTCCGCCCCGGCAAATAATTTTGGCAAAAGGCCTTCGTCCGGTTCAGCAGCGACAACGTCAATTGCAGACCAGGATGGCAGCCAGAGAGCCGTCTAGATACCTGACAAGGTCATTGCCCCGGGCAATTTTACCATCAGCTCGCCCACAGAGTGTCTGCTTCCGCCGCAATGCCAGCGACGATGCGGCATCCAAGTCTCCGGCGGACGAGCTGGAGTCGAGTTCGTTGGCCACTGCGGTGCCAGAGGACCTGGTGAAATCGTTTGATCCAACTGCAAGAGCGAAGTCGCGCAAGGGCCAGTTACCACGGAGTCGGTGAGTTTGTTGCTCATCCACTTATCATGCACATTGTCTAACACTGAAATAGTTACCAATTCCGATCACCAAAGTACGACCGTGGCCCGCTACACCCTCACCAACCTCCCCCTCCTTCGGACCCCTCCTCCCGTCTCTTCGTCCCAGGCCCCTTCTCCCTCCCCCGAACCGAGCAGACATGGGAATCCACTGTCGCCCCGGACATCCTAACCCTCTGCTACGTCCACAACCCACCCGGCTTCAAGCCCCCGCCAAAAGCCCCCCGTCTCCGCGAATGGGACGACAGCTCGCCGTACCACAAGAACCGTCAACTGCGCGGGCCCCGCGGTGGTGATGTTCTGCGACTGCTGCGCAAGCCGATTCGCTTCAACAGCGTCCCCGAGGTCGAGCGGGTGACGATCCACAGTTACGTGAAGCAGGCTGCGACAGAGAACTCGTCATGGCTGCATGTTGCAGGTATGGCGATGCAAGCTATTTCGAATGTGCGTGTTGATACGTTCAAGTCCAAGGCTAGTGTTTCTACATGGGGTATTGCGCCTGGTAGAGATAGCGTTGCTGTCAAGGCGGAGCTGCG